TTCAAAGACATACTAAAGAGTAGTATTGAACATAATTATAGGTCCTGGTGCTTGGTTTGTAATCATTCCAGTGGTTCTTTTGAGGCGCATGCATGTTCGGACCCTCACATCTGAAGGACCAGCACGGGGAGAACTGTACCGATGAAACTCGCTTGACCTTCACCGCCTGACCTCTCGGCTCCTCTTTCAACTTCTCCTTCGGGTCAACCTCCTTGACCTTGAGCACTCGGCTCTCGCGGGGGACTGCCTGGCGGTCTTTCGGCGCTTTTGGGAGAAACAACATGGCGTACAGGGTGAAAGGTTACCTATAGAAGATCTTCTTGGATTGTTGGCCAAAATAAACTGATGCATTTTTTGCCCCAGGTGCTTCTTTTGGCATGTATGATCATGTATATAAATTATATATACGTGTGTGTTTTTTCTATGCATTGTAGATGTAGGAGTTCAGCCTTCGTATTGCAACCAGAGTCCAACCTGTTACACTTGCAATACAAAAAGCAACGAAGACGTGTGCCGCTCTTCAACTCAAAAACAAACATCATCGGTTTGTGGTCGACCACAAACCAATTTACTAATGCTGTTGAGCTCGCCACATACTCATTATCACGTAAAATCGTCTACAGCGACGGGGCAATCACTTTACAAACCTTATTGGTTTGAAGGGTTTTGTGCACAAAGCCTCGGAGACCGTACCCTTCTCTAATGCTACAGTGATCTTCGCAAGAATGAATTGTGGCTCATATTTTGACCAAAACATACCTGGATCTTCCAACTATATGCACATAGTCTGCCCTTTCATTCATCAAACAAGTCACAGGGCAAACATGTTGCATCGTTGGAAGATCCAACCAATACCACGTCGAAACAAGATCAACCTCGTCACCAGAATTGACGTCAAAGCATGTCAAAGCACCGCAGTGTCGTCGCCCACATCTTCGTCTGCTTCCACCTGGACAGGGATCTGCAAGAGAGGAATCTGTAGCACACCGGAGAAGAAACAACCCCTTGTTTGAAGCCAACAAGACCATCAGCACCACCTTTCAACTCCAGTAAAATGAGGTCGAACTGACCTGTAGGGTCATGTCTTTCCCTTTGACTTTCAATATGTCGGGGCCTGGTTTTTAAGAGAAGGATCGCCACCCTTTCCGGCGGGCTCGACAAAACCCCAGGCGTATAATTGTATGTTCAAAACTTAAAACTGTTGTTTGGTTGCCAGCGGAACGTATGCTTGTGCTCACTGACATTGTGTCACATGAATGAGCTCAACGTATCGCAACATACCTTCTAACAAATCCGTCTTAAACAGCTCAGAATGAAGCTGCCTAGCTGTTGGAGCTGGAGTCTCCATCAAGCAGCAATCTACGAAAAAAGGCTCCGACCACCAACGGGCAAAGGCTGATTGGTTTGATGAGTTTCGATGAAAAGCTGAAACATCATCTTCTGAGCAACCCTAGTCAACTCCTGATCTCGAGTCAAGTGGCTTCTAAGTAGGCTGCCCCAGTCATGGTACTTCTCCTCAGGTCACTGAGGAAGCAAGCTTCTGCACATGTTGGGGTGCCGAACATCAGTGAGCCTGCCAAGAAAAACTCTGGCATTCTATGCTTGGACACTCCAACAGGTCAATTGAGGCCTGACCTCCCGTGGTCCCTGAAACAGCCCACGCCAAGGCTCACTGCCACAACGCTGCCCCGCAATTCTCGACTCCTTAGACACAGGATCACTCGGACACCCCTCACCTCACATGAAGGACCATCGGTCGGAACCGGCATGGAAGAGTTGAACGAGCTAAGTGACCTGGTGAACGAGAAGTGCGTGCCTTCATGGCAACGACGTGAGGCTCAACGGTGCGCTACATTGACAGGACCCAAGCTGGTCTGCGACTTGTCAGCGTTGCTGCCTTTGCTGCCGTTGCTGCTCGAGATTTTGGGACGAGTTGGGCATATCGTCGCTTCCGCGAGGGCCAAAGCCTTCTTGTTGGGATCTTCGGTTCCGGACTCTCTTTGAATGACCTCTATTTTGGACCAACCCAAAGATGGGCCCTTTCCTCCCAAAACGAGGGTCCAATGGCTTCTGGGATGCTCTGGGGATCAAATAAGATCAAAGGTGCCAAGCCAAAACCGACTCCCCTAGCCCTCGCATGACCAAAACCGCCGGTGATTTTTCATGTTCCGCTCGTCTCGTCATAAACGATCAGGCCCAGGTTCACACACCTCATCAATGAGTTATGATCCTTGACCGCATTGTCGCGTGTCAAAACGATGTGATCCGTCATCTCGTGGATCAACAGCAGCCTCGTGGATGGCATGGAGCTTCAGAGAAACGCATGGAGCTTCAACACCAGTCTTCACCGGTGTTTGGAACCGGTTCCAGTTTTAGGCGCACAAGCAACTCCCAAATGTATCCAAATGTGTCGGCCGCGGTGTATCATGACTTTGGTTGTATTCAGAGGGTCTGTGGTTTAATGCTAAAAATATTGCACTGTTCCGGTCCGTAATAAAGTCAGTTGTGACATATATTCAGCATCAAACTAGTTATGAACATGTGTGCACGTTGTAGGACTCGTAAGTTTGGAAAGTCAGATCTGTCGCACTAAACATGGTATCGAAGAAATGTGCGACGTTAATCAACGTGTTACCCACATTTTTGGAAGATGTTGTCTCGACGTAATGACAAAATCAAATGCAGGCATTTTAAACAATCTACACCCTAAGAAGTCCATGTATTTTGTCGTTTGGCTCTGCCAAGTGTAATTAAATGGAATTTCCTTAACTTGGGTAAGACCACCTTTAAATTTGTCTTGGACTGTCAGGGTGGCTATCGCGTATATAAAAATGCTTGAGCAAAATCATGTGTTACAGCGAGCATCGATCTGCGTCGACCAACATGCTTCGACGTTCACAAGGTTAATTCCAAACCCTACAAGTGAATGGCTCAATGATCTCATTTTACCGGAGTTGGTCATACAAAAACACTACTCAAGAAGGTTTAAAACAAGGAAAAAAACTTTAAAAAAACAAAAACGGTTTTTACTGGGGCAAACTGGACTTGTAGGAAAGAATTGCTTAACAAACACATACAAAACACATTAAATGCCGTGAAGAGCTCGCGGTCTCAAAACTATGAAAGCTTCAAAGTCAAAGTCAACCTTGTTCTGTGAAAAGCAGTTTTCAACACAACAGTTGCTGTTGATTTGAAAAGGGTCGCGCCATGGGCCTTGAATACAACCAAACACACGGGGGATGCGCGAAAAAGCGGTTCCCCCCGGTGTGTGAGATAGGTTGCTGATTCTGACCGTCGTCCACGCTCAGAAAAGTCTATGCACCCCCTATAACTGATATAAAAAGCAAATGAAATGCATCTTCTCTCCTCGTTTCTCCTTCCCTGCAATAAGTTAAATCGACACTTATGAACATGTATTTAAGACTATTAAAAGAGGAAGCAAGGAAAGGAACTGACGCTGTTGCAGTGCCAGAAAGGAGAAAACCCTTTTCAGTGCCATAAGAGAGAATTGACACTTCTTCAGTGCCATTGGACGACAAGCAAAGAAAGGACAAAAAAACAGTGAACCCTGGAATCCAGGGAAGTTTTGCTGGACACCGCGATATAGTATGCTCTGAGTTGAGCTAATTCAATCTAATTCATCTAATTCACCATAATCTATTTCTATTAGAGTTACTGTATATGTACAAATGATTCCTGACATCGTTGACACTCCCTATGACCCCCCTACCAAAAAATGATTCCACCCATTGGCATACCCCGTGGAATCATTTCTTAGCGCTACCCCAATCCAAAAATGACTGACTAGTGACTAGTGCATGAATACTCGGCACATTTGGTACGGCTTCATGTTTGCTGTTAAGATAGCTGAGCGCGTCAATCCAAATGGTACTGTGGCAACATCGGTTGATGGTTTCGAAGAGATGCAACCATCGTCTTGCGGCAAAACGACCATCTTGGCTACGACTCTTGCTACTCCAGCCACCGCCACAGGCTGCGGCTGTAAGCTGATGCAGCAACTGGACGCAACGCTGTGATCCAGCAACAACTGCTGAAGGTAAACCCAAGAAAACGACTGCAGCATGTGAGGCGACTGAGGAGTCTCTTTACACAGCCAGGACAAATCAGGGGAGCAAATCTGGGTTTGTATCAAAATAGGGAGACCTCCAAAAGAAACCCCATTGGTTGGGGGTCTGTCTCCCTATTAAAATGCACACCCATTTGGGTGTTCTGAATCCCTGTGCGCAAGCTTCACACAAAAGCTGATGTCAAGTGCCTGCCGCGCGCACAGGCCAATAGAGCTTGGCCATGAAAAAAGGCACCATCAAACAAGTTGAAACTTGGATGTGCTTAAGGAACCGGAAGGGGAATTCACCTGCAGGTCACCTAAAAATCAACTGAGAAAGCCTCCAAACAAACACAACCTCTCTTCGACCCGTGTTGCGACCTCTTCACTCCACTGTCCGCCACAACCCGCCAAGCAACAACCCCCGATTCATCTCCTCCTGGAAGGTCCGAAAAAAACGCTCCGTCCACCGTCGCCCACGGTGCATACCGGACGAGCGACGTCGCTCGTCCCGAGGGTGGTCAAACAATATCTGTTAAGAGTCGTAGGATGTCGCAGGTCATGATATTCCACGCATGTTCTTCTTAGGGCTGGAATGTTGAAGCCAAACCGGAAAAAAGGACCGCGGCAAACAACGGTTGAGCCCAAGTGAAGTTGAGCAGCAAGAAAGGATGAAGACCTGCACTTAGCAAACAAATGCTAAAACATGTATATATTAATACCAGTACTAAATACACATTACACCCTGGCCTTCAAAAACCATCAACAGAAAGGTTGACCTGGTTTTGTAGTCTTAACATCCTTAGTAACACAACAGCTGTTGGAATCTCGGTATGTGTATATATATACACAGTATATACACACTACATCTATACATACAACTTTTAAAGCCTATTGTAGTTTGCATCGGGTTGACCATCTATATAGTCTAGAGTCAAACGGGATTGAGCCAACAGTCCCAAGAGGGGCATACAAGCAACATAACGGGGGCGACATGTCTCCGCCCGAGATGTATATAAAATAACAATACACATGAACGGCCATATGCAAAAAGAGTCTCATGGACGCAAACACAGGATTCGGCCATGAAGCGCCGAATGTAAAAGGCCACTCGATGCCACGACACTTTTCCCCACTGATGCCGCTCCTGGAAATGCTGCAGCGGCAAATCGTTGGCATCGCTGCCAAAGGGCATTTCCAGTTGTGCGCCTCAGTTGCCCAATCAGGCAGACGAGGCGCAGCGCGCAGAGTCCAACGAAAGTCCAACAAAGCAAGGCGCTGTGACTGGTCAAAACGACCTGACTGGTCAGGTCACGACCTGACTGAGAGGCGACTGGCTCAACACTGAAAACCAGCGAGCATTTTGCCGAAACCATGCAACAAAATGCAACAAAGCCCTGCCCAGCTTCCCCAACGAACCACCCGTATAGACCCCAGAAGGCTAAGTGTAGGAAGGAAAACCACACGAAACATCACGAAACCATTGGTCATGGGGTGGATTCACCTTAGTGCAGTGGTGTTCATTTGAAATGCTCCCTTTCTCTCACTTCCGAAGCTCACCATCATGTCGGCCAACTGATCTATTTCAATTTTGCTGAGGCTGGGACAAACGATGTTCAGGGCGATGATGCTGAAGACCGGAATGAAGGTCACCAACATCGCCCATGCAAATCTCAGCGTCTTCGCCCACGTTCGAATTCAGCGTCTTCGCGGCTCACAGGTAAGTTCGCGACACACAGGTAAGTTCGCTGCTGGGCTTCAGCAGCTAAAATCATGTTTGGGGTGACAATTGCAGGACATTAGCAAAGGGCCATGAGGAGATATCGAGATTACTCAGAATTGAGTGAGAGAAAACAGGGTCACGTGATCTCTGACTGCTTGATGAGAGCATGCTCACGGCTGGGGCGGCCATTTGTTTCACAGGGTGGTAGCAGGAAAGTAATCATATATTGCGCCTACCTGATACCAGCAGTAATGATGATACATTTGTTGCAGGCCTTTCCTTAAATTGATGTCCTTCTTTACCGACGGCTCTATATATTCTATATACAGGTTTACTAGGACGGACCCAAACCAAGTTCATCGGCTGTCTTTGACCCTGCAACAGCGGCAACACGACATGCAAACAAGGCACTGCTTAATAATCGCGGAGACCACCAAAGGCGTTGAGATGCAATAAGACACAATCAGCCTGCGCCCGGAGCCACACCCTGTGGCTGCCACCAAGAAAGACGATCTAGGATGGGCTCCTAGCACCACTGCTAGCTTCCCGTTCATGCTTGGTGTCCATGATGTTGCAACAGTTCCCGAGATCATATTTTGCTATGTTTAATGTTAGAAACTTGAAGCCCAACCCATTCATCTGGCACCGCCGGTCACGTGGTCCCCCATCAATCGATCTACGAACAGCAATGCCGGTGACCCGGAGTCCACCCGGGTGACGTGGAGTCGACCAAGCGACTCCAAGTCGACCCCTTGGAGTCGCCATCGGTTGTCTCACCTGACTCCTTGAGAGTCGAGAACGGGTCCAAGTTGCACTTCCCCTCAACAAAAGACACACTGGACAACCCAGCGGGATCTCTTGTGGCGACGCGAACTGTGAGTTTAAAATTGGGAGACCGAACCAAAAGGATCCAAGTCGGGCGTGCTTATGAGGCAGCCACTTTGCAGCCCAAACCCATCCAATCCATTGGGACTGAGGCAGGTGGGCCCACTTAGTGTTGGAGAATCCTCTTGTCACTACAAAGTGGATTTGCCCCGGTCCCACTACTGTTCCTGGAAGAGACCCACAGCTCCATGTTCATCCATTGATCAGGCTCGGGTGGACCGCTTCCCGGGTGGACGCGCTTCGCCCGGTCACCACCCGTTGGCCGTACAAACGTCCGTCCCGGCAGAGAGACGGTGGTGCAGCCAGGGCGCATGGTGATAATCTGAGCCCAGGGAAAGGGAAACCGTGTGTCTGCAATCTTCTTGGCCTGATGCTGAAGTTCTGGTCAGCTTAGGTCATCGAAGGCCAGGTCGAAAAAACGTGGGAGAACAACATGTTCTTCTGCCTATCAAACTATCAAAGAAGGCTGCCAACCTTTCGATGACACTTCCTTTCTGTAAACAGGACTCTTCTAAGATGTACGTCAACTTCCGGCACTGTGCAAAGCTGGACTCCAAAACATGAGAGAATTCTTTCTTGAGAGCTATAGAGCCCTCATTTTTGTATGATGATTGTTAGGTTGCAGGTCTGGACCCCCAAACACGGTGATCATCTCTTGCCCACTGGCCGACTGGGACATACTGGGGACAAACCCTTCGCTCGCAAGGGCTTTTGGACCCGAGTGACCGATGACCAAGTGACGACCTACGTAACTGCCGACTGGCCGCACTTCATGGATAATGGGATATGTGATCTTTCTATCTATATATTGGTTGACCTGGGGTCAATGTGGGCACACACATATATATATATATATATACACCAGTCCCAATAGTCATGTCTGGGACATTATATATAGTAATTTTCTATATGTGCGTATTATCCTATTACCTGTAACAGTAACAGTGGATGATGATGGTTAGTAGAGGCCTTGTCCACAATTAGTGATGTTCTTGTTGACTGACTGCTGCAGGGTTGCTAGGACAGACCCAATACATTGACCCCTGAAACCACCATGGAGGTCAATCTTTCAGTCCAAAGAGCGGAGCGAGACTCGGATCACGTTGTGCGGCTTGGTGCGGCTTAGCTTTAGGGTTGGGCGCCTTCACCTATAAATACTCAGGCTTGCATAGCTGTGCCATATCCTTCCCTGTGTAGAGAACCTCCTGTTATATATGATATGTTATAACCTGGCAGGAGTCTACACAGGCTTACCATCCACTTAGGAGATATCTTAAGCCGTGCCGGCCAGTATAAACATCTCATGACATCTCCCCCGGTCCACTTTTGTCGAATTGGTTCAGCAAGAGTTGCTGATTCTCACAACCTCCGTACAGTCTATCGACATAATGTTACCTATAAAACATTCATACCAAAAGCCTCTGCTCTACGCCCTTCTTGGCCTGAACCACGTCAAAAACACCGTAGTCTGGAGAGAAAAAAGTCGATGAAGGCTCCATACTTCCGTGGCCAAGTCGCATTGAGCAGGTTCACAAAGCCTCGCCTTGGACCGTTTTTTTGTTCGCAGACCGGTGTGAGTCGAAGGACACGTCCATCACCGCTACAGTGGACCTGGAAAAAGGGTGTCTATTTTTTTCACACGCTCGAAGCAAATCTCAGGGTCCAATGCAGTTGTATGCAGTTGTCTATTAGGTGTATCCCATTACCAGGGCCCAGTGGATGATGATGATGATGATGATGATGATGATGATGATGATGATGATGATGATGATCGATGGTTAGTAAAAATGCTGGCCCAATGATCTATGCCACCAGTGCCGTGCCAAGATTTGCCCAAGATCCGAGTTCCTCGGCGTTCGTCGCGACCTCCTTCCTCCCAAAAATTTCCAGGTCCCACCCCAAGGCAAGGTCGGTAAGTATACCTCGATCATATCATCCTGGATCTTTCATGGCAGAATTTATTTCATTGTTGGAAAATCCAGGCATGGAGTGTCGGGTTCAAAACCATCCTCAAAATATTCAATCATATCCTGGATCCTCTTAATTAACACGCTGCCTATCTATAATGCATGGCCTCCTATTGTGGCCCTTGCCACAGCTTCAGAATGGCAGGACCTGCTTCACTGGCTGGGCGGACGTCCAGAGTTGCCAGCCAAGCTTCGAGAGTGTCTGATAGACCTGGGCCGAGGAAGTGTTCAGAAGGACAAGCTGTGGATGCAATGCTCTTCGTTGTCATCAAGAAAGGTGCTCAGTGCTCTTCGTTGGATGCAATGCTCTTCGTTGCTCTTCGTTGTCATGGTGCTCTTCTTTTGGATGCAAGCTGTGGGTGTCCAAAAGAAACCCCCAAAATGCATGGTGCTCGTCGGTTTCTAACCCATCTGTGCAAGGCGACGGAGGCCGGGGATGATCCACAAGCCATTGTCTTTAGATGACTCGAAGAAGGAATTACCTGCACTTTCAGCGGTGTCAAATCATGTCAAATATAGTCAGTGGACTTCAAATGTAAGAGTATAGGCCGGATTTGATCTGAACCTGCAAAGTTGCCGGTGAGCTGGGTGTTCGTTCGGTATGGCTGAAGTTGCATGATTTGGCAACTGGTCCCGGCAGCCATCAGCGGGCAGCGGTGCAAACGCAGCGACCACAGGAGACGTGAAGTCCCTGGAACTCACGTGGCGGTGGAAGATGACCTCGTGGGTCTTGGAAGACCTTTTTCCTCTACAAACTGGCAGTTTTCCACTTCCATGTTAGTTCCAGGGAGTGTTTTTTCGCATCCCGGCCCGCAGTTCACATGTGACGCGCGGTTTTTCCCATGGTTTCCCCGAAATCACGGAACTTGCGTTCTATGTAACGTGTCGCTCGCCGAGGAGCTCGCGAAAGGATGGGAGGGGGAATGGTCAACACTCCGATCTGTTGGTTGTAGGTCACCAAATTCTGGATCATGTGCTGCAGAGCCTGGGCCGAACAGGCGATCAGGTGCAGGGCGGGACCTCCTCGCGTTGATTTTTGGGAGGGGGACGACGACGTTTTCGCTTTCGGAATGGTGGACCAGTGAACCTGGCTACTGCATGGAAGAGCTACCTTTTGGGGGGCATCCAAAATGAGCACCTGGACCCTGCCCTAGAACATGGGACCTGACCCCATTTAAAAACAATGGTACTGGATTCTGAATTCTTGATGGTACTTGTGCCCATTTTCTGAGGCACTTCTTTTACTCCGTCTGTCCGGCATGATGATCTGCTCTCCAGGTCTGGTGAGAGCCAGATGTCGCCGTTGGGAACTTTGGACCGAGTCCAAAGATCACCCAACAGAACTGCGAAGTCCCGTGGATCTCAGATGGTTTGAGCTACAGTGGCAGGTTCGATGGCACTGGCACCCTAAGATGTCTTTTTTCAAGATCGGGGTACCATATACACCACCTCTTGGGCATTGTGCCATCTACTCTGAAACCACTGTACATGGATGGGCGGTCTCTCGATAGAATGTTTTTAGGGCATTTTAGGGTCAAACTAGTAGGTATGTAGTATTAATATATACATATATATATATTAATAATCCATACATGCTTGGTCTGAGCATTGGACTGGATCTGTACATATCTGTACATAAAGACCTTCAAACAAATCAACAACATGAAGTTTGAGCAATCTTCCAGAACCCATGGTTGTTTGCGAATGTTCCACAATCCCTTACGATGACTTGAGATCACTGGAGGCTTCCCATGTGTCCATCACTTCTACTGTACGGTAACTGGTCGGATCGGGAGGGGCAAAAAGGCTTGAAGAGGCACCCGGAGCTTCGAAATCGAAGTCCATGTGGGCATGAAACCTGCTGGGCCAAGCATGCCTTCACACCCATGTCGCTTCTGAGCGCCGGATCATCCCGTTGAATTGGGCCAATCCGATGATTATGGCCCGGGGAGTCGCCTCTGGGCTAACAAGCAACATGGTTCCATTCTGCCATCTGCGGAACATCTCGATCTTCTGTGTACTAAATCACCAGAAGGGTGCCTCACCCTTTGTGGGATTTACTGCCAGATTTCATGGGGATTGACAGGATCCAGAAGCAGAATAGCCATGTCTGCTACTTCACTTCTTTCTCCCCCAAGCTGTGGACATCCCTCTATGACCTCTATCCTAAAGCATGAAACAGCACGAAAAACATGACGAACACCTGTTAGTCCAACTCACTCAGCTAAAACTCGAGCCCGAACTTTCCACGGGCTTGGTCCGTTGAATAAACAATTACACGCACAGCATCTCAAAGCCGCCATTTTCTAACAGGCGTTACCAAAGAACCATGGTTTAATACTCAAGATATCTCAAGATTTTACACTACAAAAGCCAGGTCAAACATTGCATTTTAACAGTCTTGGAAGGATGGGGAATTCTTCTCGATTGATGATCGATGCTCATTGGCCTTTTTGGGGGCCTGCTCCCATGAACGGTTGAGCAAACTCCATCCACAATTTCGATGCCAAGTCTCTTCGACCTTGTTGAAGCCATAAACATCATAGCAGTCCCTGAACCAAGACATGCAACGTGGCCGACGCCTTTCGACGGCCTTTGGAGGCCCAAACAACCCGAGCTCCATGCTCCCTGCTGGTCAGAATTCGCTGGTGGGGCCCAGGCCGGCGTCGCGGATCCAAGCGGATTGTCTCGAAGCACCAAAAAGGGATTGGACATGAATTGGAGTATGCCCAGGAAAGGAAAGGAAGACTACAAGCTATAAAAGAAAAACAACATATATATATATATATATATAGTGGAACAATTACATAATATACAACAATTACAGTGCAGATATCCATTCAAATCATAAGACAACCTACCACGCGTGACAGGGACACGCACACAGCAGGCCACACGTCCTCGTCAAAACCACTTGAGTGCCGCGCCTGAGAAATCTGAGGGTGTCGATGTCGAGACCGGTGATGTCCATGCAAACCTGCCCCCCAAAAAAATCAAGACGGCGCATCGAGCCACGTAGACAAGGTCAGCCGCGGCCGGGGAAGGCAGTGGATGCCCCAAATACCATCAAAGGCGGCATACCAGGAGTCACAAAGTGACAAGACGGGGTGCCGAACTGGGGGGAGGTCGGGGTGCCGAACTGATCCACTCGCTGAATGGGACTAGACACCCCGGTACTTGTCCCCTGGCACATCTAATCTGCGCGCCGGTGAGGCGAAGACACCGCCCGAAGGATCGGGTCAACATGGACGATGGACTCAAGCAGCTTGCGTTCAGATAGGCTGAGACGGCTCAATCGCGGTACACATGGGTACGGAAAAGGGCGCCTGGAATCAAAGAGGCCTGGAGAAACAAAGCTCTTGCCCGGCCCCATGCGGCTTTTGTCATACACATCCCTGAGATTTAGGACACTCAAAACACACACTTCGACAATTGTATTCAGTTATCTCGATTCCCACGTTGAGAAGGATGGCGAAGAACCGCAAGGTGGTCAAGTCAGCTGGAAAAGTATGGTTGAACAAATTTTCCAAAGGTGCAAGTGTGCGATCGGTGGCTGGCTGCAACTCACGAGCGGTTGAGAAATCTCAGCTCCAAAAAACCAAGGTTGGGGGGTGGAAACGTGAAGGACCATGAACCAAAACGTGGAGAGTGGAGCCACAGCTTGATCAAACGTTCCGTCAGCGCAGGTACGCCAGGATGGCCAATCCTGGTATCCCGTGTTCAGACTAGCTTCGTTGGGCGTAGTCATCTGAACACGCTACGCCCCCCTGCTGGTGGAAATTGCTTTCAGGGTGGAAAACGGGGGGGAAAGTAGAACGTCAGTAGCGGTGAACCCTTGGTCCAGGGGTTGACACACACAAACAGCCGATTCCGGCGCAAGTGTGTAAAACGTGGAAGGTGGAACTTTGTACAAAAAGCGCGAAAAACTAATAGCCACCTAAAAAGCCTTAGAAAGACAGACAAAGCAAACAAAACAAAAGCAGACTAAGAGGGCAAGAAAGAAAGATAGGGGTAGTTACGAGGCCCACTTAGTTAAATGAAAGTAGAGCGCGAGCGGGACATTTGTCTTAAACCGCCCGGGTAGCTAGCAATAGGCTAGGAGAAACAGAAGGAAAGGCACCAACACACAAGCGTGTTGAGTGCGATTTCCTTCTGTTTCCCGAGTAGCGGGTGGGGTAGCAACGGAGGCCCAGGGGTAGGGAGGGGAAAAATGCACGATTAATTCATCCGGCCTGTGAATACTTAGCAGCACATGCACATGTGAATACTTAGCCGTCAAACATCTCAAAAAACAGCAAGTGTTGCAGAACTGTCAAAAATGCAAAAAACTGCACAGCACTACAGAAACGGCTGGAGAATCAATTCCCGTGGTGAGGCTCGGCAGCCTTGATGTCGGTTAATTCAGTGATTGTGTCAGTGACTTCCGGCGGAAATCCCGTGAAAAGTGGTGAGTTCCGTTAATGATTTCCCAATGAAACGGCGCCTCCTTGCGGAGGATCACACTCAGCACCCGAGTGGGACGGCTGAGCGAAACACACTTCGACAATTGTATTCAGTTATCTCGATTCCCACGTTGAGAAGGATGGCGAAGAACCGCAAGGTGGTCAAGTCAGCTGGAAAAGTATGGTTGAACAAAGTTTCCAAAGGTGCAAGTCTGCGATCGGTGGCTGGCTGCAACTCACGAGCGGTTGAGAAATCTCAGCTCCAAAAAACCAAGGTTGGGGGGTGGAAACGTGAAGGACCATGAACCAAAACGTGGAGAGTGGAGTCACAGCTTGATCAAACGTTCCGTCAGCGCAGGTACGCCAGGATGGCCAATCCTGGTATCCCGTGTTCAGACTAGCTTCGTTGGGCGTAGTCATCTGAACACGCTACGCCCCCCTGCTGGTGGAAATTGCTTTCAGGGTGGAAAACGGGGGGGAAAGTAGAACGTCAGTAGCGGTGAACCCTTGGTCCAGGGGTTGACACACACTACACACACACACACACAAACTTGTCACTTGTCCAAGCTGCTCACCAAACACGGATCGTGGAACAAATAGGAAAACAACAACAACCCACAACAGCTTAGCCGCTTAGCCGGTCCAAAGCCTGACCTGGTCAGATGTTCAGCTTCTACTCGCACGTATACCATCCTCCTCGCTCGGTGGACCCAGCGCCGCACGGTGCGCGACAGCCGCCTGTCCGGCGGCTCCTTCGCCGCAAATCTCGTCCAAGGCCGAACCGTGCCTCGCGACGCGAACGGTGAACGGTGAACGGTCGGGCGGACCAACGGAGCGCCAACAGGGACAACAGTCCGGTCCAGTCACTGGAAGCCAGGCTGAGGGTCTCTATGATTGGACCGTCTCTTACGGTGGAGGTCAGCGGCTCTGGCGGAGGGTCCAGTCACTGGTCGTTCGGTCTAGACTGACCCAGTTTTTGTTGACCTGCAGAGCTGAGAGTTGTGTTTTTATAGGACCAAGTCCAGTCAAATTTGTCCAATGAGGTCAAAATCACCTGTAGATAATGGTATGATTTGGGATGATATGGGTATATATTCTGTTAACCAGGGCCGACTGGATGATGATGGTTAGGGGGCCTTGCGCAAAGATAGTGATCGGTCATCTTTTACCCGCTGTTGCTGGTCATGGGGCACAATGTATCACTGACATATACTAACATCTTGAAAACCAATTCTACGGGCAATTGTATGAGTCATACATGCTTTTCAGAGGATGCCACAATAAATACGACGGTGCTCATATGTCATAGGGGTGCCTAACCCCAAACACGGTCCTTGACTCAGCAGAGTCAGCTCTGGCCGAACACGATGCAAATCTTCGTTTCACTATAGAAAAGTAGATCCCCACATATCCCCACTAACAATGTATTATTGGATACTTGGGGACCACTATATCGAACATTTAGGGCTTTGTTTTCCACTACGGCGAGTCCGACCACGCCAAGCGCGTCATCTCAGCCAGCGGCATGACGCTCGCCAGGCGGACCAAGGTGTTGCCTGGGACTTTTCGGTGTCGCCAGTCGGAGGGGTGTGGAGGTCGGAAAAAGCGCCAGAACACCGGCTGTGAAGAACAGCCCCAAACGGCTGGTTTGAAGGAACATGTGCAAACAACAACCTCTACAGGTGATTACAGGTGTGTGTGTGTGTGTGTCTGATTGTGTGTATGTGTGTGTGTGCATGTGTGTGTGTTGTGTTTGTGTGCTTCTCGTGAAGAGATTGAAGTTAACGAACACCTGGCCACAAACTTGAACAGCCAGAATCCAGGATCAATCAATTGCTCATCCGCAGTGGATAAAACAGCCCCCCGTGTGGACACATCCGGTTTTCCAGCAAAATAGGGGTTCAAATTGATCAAACGTGTGTTTGTGTGTGTGTGCCTGGCTTCTCCTAAAGCACCTTAGTCTTAAGAACATTTTGAATGGGACATCACCCTACAACAAAGCAGGTGCTGCACCCATTTCTTGAGGACTCCAAATGACTCCAGGTGCCTCAGGGTGCCTTGGCTTTCAATTCTTTAAGGGTCCACAGGGTCGCCCACCCTCACGTGGCTTCCATTTTGTTCGCCCGCGTGCCCGGTGGTTCTCGGCTGGTGCAAGACTGCGGTCATCCGCTTGGCATGGCGCGGCTTTTGCGAAGCGGCCGGGTTCGGGTGCCAAGCGCAGTGGAGAGGACTCCAGGACTGGGTTGATCATGTTGGAAAGAGCGCATCACCCATCCGATGGTCAAGCCCATCCTACCAAGCCTCAACAGGCCCCAAACCAAGCGAATGGGGAACAATTGTCCCTGGGTATCAGGAAGCTGAGGCTTTCTCTCTAACAAGCACGTCTTCGTGCATTGAAGTGTATTGACAGCCGCAGTACCTGCCCAAGAACTTCGGAAACTCGAGAGTTGCCCCCCTGCGCAGGAGCCCCGCCAGCTCGCCACTCCGGAAGTGCCACATGCGTATAGTCTGGAGCATGCACAGGCGCCAAACAAAGTTCCAACAATGAGAGTCTGGATGATTCGTTGGAGACTTCAGGAACCCCAAATAAATGCCCTACAGGTCAATTGATCTCACTGGAGAGGTCATACTGAAGCACTACTCCAGCAGGTCCTGGACCGACCTGGGTCCAGGACCTCCGCGGTCCATTTGGAGGTCCAAATGGAGGGGCCCTGAAGTCCTGAGGCAGAAATCACCCGTACGGCAGTAGTACGGCACCCTCCTTTCAGCGTCTGATTTGGGACGAAATGCAATTGACATGGGGAAATGGGTGCGTGATTCTGGCCCGAGGTTAGAAAGCTAGGCTCTATATGCACTACAGCTATAAGATTGTGAGACTTGGCTCACCTTTGATCCATTTCAAATCACTGGGTGTGAGAAGCACATCTCTGACCACACTTGTGTTTCCCTTCCTCTCTCGGACAACCAGGCACTCTTGTCCGTGGGCCACTGGAATGTCAACACATGTCACCTTTAGCAACGCTATTAAACCATGAAACGCTTTATGTTTGCTGAGATCACTTATTGAATGGTCCAGTCAAAAAGACTTAAAGAAAGACTTGGACAAGAAAGGTCTAATCTAACCAAATAGGGTGCGAAATGTTGGGGTGATTTGGGGCGAAGGCTTTTCATGCTTTTGATTTGGGGTCCTTGCATGTGATGTTCGGGTAGGATTTGCATGTATCTATATAGCAATGTCATCTAACAAGAGTGCTTTCGATTGAAATCAGCGGATCTCCCTCTCCAAAAATCAAGTTGGATTAAAAAGGCACTGGTTTGCAGGGAATATCTCGTTTTACTAAGGGTTCAAAAACACTCTAATTATGGTGATTGAAAGGACAGCATGGCTTCACTATTCGCCACCCATTCCACCCATGTCTTCACCGTGACCGCTTCAGTGGCTTCACCCGCTGCTCCGCCAGCAGCGCGTCCTCTGCGTCGCGCGCAGCGCGCGCCAGGCGCAGCGCCTGCCGAGCATCTCGGAGCTTCTTGGCCTCCCAGAGTGTCCAGAAGGCGTTCATGTTGACCGGAGCCGATGATTTTTCGTGGGGGTTCAACGGGTTCAACAAACGAAGCATTTTGGAGTCAGTGGGTTCCATGATCCCAATCCCTAGGGCCCTAGGGTTCCAAGTACCTTCTAAAGAAGGTGGGTTGAAAATAGAAATCACCAAAACCACCACCTGGGGAAGGTCTCTTCTTAGAGAATGACCCTGGTGAATGGTCCACAAACTGCCGCCCTCGGAACGCTGGTCTTTCCAGGGGCCGTGTCACCCACTTCCATCGTCGAACGTGTCGAACGTGTCGGGGCTCACCACGGTGGAACCGCCCCACCCGAATGGAGTCGTTCAGCGTCCCGGAGCGTGGCATATAGCGTCCCCTCACCGTGTAAACCTCGCATCGCTCCAGGAGGTCCACGGTCCAAACCTGGTCCTGAAAACCTCCCAACGAGTAACATGACGAGCAGGTTTTTGATGACGAACCTGGTCAATTCGTGAACTGAGTAATCATGAGGTCTTTGACTTGTAGGGAAGGTTGACCATATCCGGTATAGACTTGTAGGTCTTCCATGTCTGTCAGGCAAAGGCGAAGATCCTAAAAGACTTGTCACAAGATTGGACTCTCCGAAGTCGTCTGTTCTGTTCATGAGCCCAGAAGTCCACCAAGAAAAGGACATTAAAAAAACACATACTGTACATGAACCCGAAGTCGCTCGCGCCCAAAGCGCCCAGCCACAAAAAAGGCACCACTTCTGTTTCAGCCTCGCACGAGTTCTTCATCCAAGGCTCCAGATCAAACACTCAGTGCGCTCCGAAAGCCCACACTGAGAGCTCATGGAACGTGACAATAATAGATGGATTCAGCACACGGATGCAGTAATGCATCATTGAACTATATTGCATTTACTATTGAATTTGTGAATTACTCAACAAGTTATGCAGGGTTCTGCCCCGCGATGAAAGCGAGGCCAAAACAGACCTTTCTTCGGGAACCGAAGGATCCTAAACGATCACTTAAGGGAACTGCAGCGAATAGAAGCAAGCAAAGACTTCGCACACATGAGCCGCACTGGGTGCCCTATGGCGCCCTAGAATCTGTACACGTGCTGCGCATGGCGCTCATGGGTCTCTTCGCGACGGGCGGAGGCAGTGCTTTCCTTATCCAGTTTCTCCAACTCTGGCAGGCACGGCTTTTGGAGCCCCTTCTCGGAGCGGATGCAGTTGGAGCCCCTCTCAGCAGTCTTCATTCGGGCCGTCCCCGCGGGATCTGGTAGAGGTAGCGAAGAGGTGGCCGGATCTGGGCCGCGTGGGAGGTCGTCTTCGGGGGCACCTGTGCCATCTCTCAAATCTTCGCATGACTCGTCAGGCTCATTTAAGGCCAAATTGGTGAGAGTCACTGCCCAGGAGGTCATGCTGGAGTCGGTGGAGGCTGTGGAACTCAGAGATGGTTTTCGCTCCATGATATCTGTGATGCTTTCCCCGCACGACTTGAGCCTATTCCCGGAAATGCGGGGCAAGATTGAAGCACTTGAAGGTCATCTCGGATGGATCCTGTACGGACTTTTCAGCAATCCCTTGCTTGCAAAAACCAGGAGGTCCTTGAAGGACCTGACGATCATTACTACTATATATTCCCTTTATATACAAATCTTTTGCCTTTAGATGACAAAGGATCCGCGGCAAAAACCCCATCTTACATACTGTGAAACTGTGACCTTGACCGCCTTGGCCTGCATTGGGAAACGCCAAACAACTCACTGTTGACTTCTTAAAACTATCAATCCTTGACCCTGTCGGCCCCCGGCCCCCGCAAACACACACTTATAGAAATGCGTACTGATTTTGGTTGCGGTTTGCCCTTTAAAGAAAATCACAGCGTGGTTAACAGTTCAAAAAGAGCAGGTACGTGGAGTTGACCAGACTCCATATCAGTCGTGGCATAGCCCTCTTCGTTGGGCAACCAGTGCTCACGAGGTTGCCCCCCTGCAACTTGAAAGACCTTCAAAAACAATCCTCAGGATCCCTGTGATTCCAAGGGTTACACACACACGCCTCCCCGAGGGGAGGCGAGAAGCACTAAGGTCAGGGCAAAAGTGTGAGTGTGTGCGCAGAAAGACAAAAGAATGAAGACATGAAGAGGAGACACGACGGGACAAAGGTGTGTGTGGTTGCAATGAAAAGGAACCAAGTGCACAGGAACAACCGATGACAACCCACCTCATTGTAAGGACCTGGGCTGGGCGACCTAAAGCCTGAGTTGAAAGTAGGTTGCGCATGTACATACTAAGGGCCGAGCCATGTGTACGCAAAAGAAGGAAAGAGATGCGATGACAGGACATGAAGCAAGGGAAGACATGAAAGAAAAAAATAGAAAAGAAGTGCGTCAAGGGGAAAAAGGATGAAAAGGGGAACCGGATGGAGGGGACGGGAACCGATGAAACCAAACCTCATTCCAACGACCTAGGAAAACCTGCCCCGTTTGAACGTACATGCTGTATGTGCACCCAAGGTTGCGACAGGTTCCACTGAGCCTTGAACAAGCTTTGGTCGCTCCGACCACGTGGTGGCGTGCCCGAAGGCTGCCTACTGCTGACCGCTGTGGTCACCTCATGGCTTGAGATGACGACGTACGCTCTTGTCTGCCGCGTGCACTAGCCCTTTAAAGAAAATCACAGCGTGGTCAACAGTTCAAAAAGAGCAGGTACGTGGAGTGGATCAGACTCCATATCAGTCATGGAATAGCCCTCTTCGTTGGGCAACCAGCTATGCTCACGAGGTTGCCCCCCTGCAACTTGAAAGACCTTCAAAAACAATCCTACAGGATCCCTGTGATTCCAAGGGTTACACACACACACACACACCAGCACCTCAGCACCTCCTTCTACCTAGTCTCCTATAGCACCTCCTTCTACCTAGTCTCCTATAGACTACACTACTTGTGGAGCTCCATGTTTCGCATCCCTTTCAAGCTCCAGGCACACATGATTCTCTTCATCCCCCGGGGGTCGCTGTTTCCGGCCATCCTCCCGACGCGCTTCCGCCTCTCCCGGGGTGGTTTCCTCGGGAAACCCGGCCTTGGTCACGTTCCACTCAGCCTCCGCCTTCTCAATGAGCTCCTCAGCCTGAAGATCGAGCCACGAGTTTGGTCAATGGCTCGCTGAGTTCAAACAGTCCACTCTAGAGTCATAGAAAAACATAGCAAAAACACAAGACAAAAACGGATGTTTTCAGGTCACAACCTTGGTCAGACTGGACTTGCAGACGGACCGTTGATGTGTGCAACACATGCGGAAACACCCGACGTTGCTCTCGACTACTCTAACCAAAGTTCAAATCATCCCTTCATAGAAGGAATGCGCTGCTATGAGATTGCTGCATGTTGGCTTTAAAGGAACATGTGCTGGTGGTATCTCCAAATGTTCAATCTTGCCGAGTGTTGAGCATGTGTATGATGTCCTCGGAGAAAAAAAGCGTTGTAACATGTTGCAAGTGTCCCAAAACAAACGGAGCCACTGGCACAAATTCATCCATTTATATACATAGGTCTTCGCAATTTAAGTGTGGGACTTTAAAGATCGGCGCTCGTTCCAGAAATAAAGTTCGGATAAGTTTGGAAGACACCCCAGAACTTCCGTTTTGACTCGTTTTACACCAGGTAGTCATGATCCACCACTTGTTAGGGGGTAACATGAGTCATTTGGGCTTCCAGGATAGTTGCCCAAAAGCCTCCTCTTGGTGCTCTTTTTGGCCTGAATGTGATTGGCCAATTTCATCATGAACATCTGCGCAACTTGAGTTGGGTCTAGGATAGCTCGCCTCCTGATTCAATCATGGTTGTCAACTTTGTATTTTCACCGTTGAAGTTCCTCTTCCCAGGAACTAGAACATACTACAGTATATACTGCACCGAACTCCTTGTATGTTAAATGAACACATTTAAATGAAATATGTTTTTCTGCGACCCGCAGAGCGCCGTTGGATGAAAACTACACTCGTCCAAAAGGACGGCTCTGGACTCTTTCATTGCACTGCGTGCAGTAGGTGACATGGGCACCATTTGACAATGTGGTTAGATCCGGCTCTTGGGATGCTGTTTAGATCTGTTTCAAGTTTACATATGAATACCATGCAGGTGTTGGCTGAAGACATCCCACAAGCTAGCGCCAACATCTATGTGGTGAAGACACTCTGCAAGCGCAGGAACATCCAAATCATTGTACATGCCAACGATGAGCCGAAACAGTTCTTGCAAGAGAGAACGGAGTGCAAGTTAAAGGACTCCGTTCTAAATGCTTGGGTATTCAACAGCGTGTTAATATCCGTCTGAAACCTAAGATCCATGATGTTGCACCTCTGATATGCAAATCTTGGCAGGTCAACACAGGGAGCGTATGCGCTAGCTAGCTAGCGTTGTTCAAGTGCATTCCGAGTCGACGTGACGTTGCAAAGACTTGGGACAAATAATCAGCAGGGCAGGCTTCATTTTTACGGCACTTGACCCATTTTTGCCACTCGGATCCACTCGGTGGAAGCCCATTTTTGTGCAGTGCAACGAAAAAGCAGGTCCACGTCCAAAGACTCGACTCCACTCCTTTCTCCAAGCTTCGCTCCTCGCCCCCTGGCTCTTGAACATTCATGAACTACATCTATAGCCCTAAGAATCCGGGCTCCTTCACCAACACTACTAGGATTTGGGAACCGGCTCCGGACCGCGTTTCGGTGGAGAAGGTCCGCCCGTGCCATGCAGGTTGAAGAACACCGGTTTGTTTCGGGGCCTCCGACGAGTCTGCGAAACCTCACGGTGTCTTCGTTTCGGTTCGCCTCTCGATGGGACCGTGAGCAGGACTTCCAGCGTCGGCGCCGAGGGCAGGTCATCCAGGCGACCCACTCACGCCCTGAAGAGAGGCAGGCTTCGACGCGTCGAAGTGTTGTATACCAGCACCGAACCCAACAGGTCTCCGAAATGGAGGGTTGTTAGGCCCTAACAGGTTTCTGCTGGTATATATACAAATACTTATGTGTGTGTGTGTTGTTCTTCTTTTTTTTGAGGGGGAGGGGGGGTCTAGGTCCAGTATGGTGGCTCCTTGGATATGGTATACTAATGTATACTGTGTCTTTCGGACAATCTACAGTCCCATTAGGAAACGGTCGATCTTCAAGCAGGGTGATATGTCTTTGCAGCACCAGGCCAAGAAACACATTAGACAGTGGATGCACAATCCACTAGTAGGCCGATGAATGCTAGATTCAATAAACGCAAGATTGTGCCGTCTACCCAGATAAAATTAATATTGGCTTGTGTCAAACGACCCGCAAAGCAGTCTGATTTGTGCACTAGAATGCCTGTTCAAAGGACCACTCAAGCCAGCAACGTCTGCATTGAACAGCAACCAATATCATATCTCATCTAATTATGTGTCCATCTATTCAATCCACTTGTGTGATCATTTAAGTTCCATCAATTCCCGAGATTTGTGAGCAGTTCCTTCTTTTTGATTCTTATTGCATTCTCTGGTTATACTCTCAGATTCCTCCCCTGCTGAATTTGTCTTTGAAGTTTCCAGCCTTCTGTTGTAAACCCTCCGAGAAGAAGGATTTCAGCACCATTTCAGCACTTGTAGCTAGACACTCTGCAGCAAAGCCAAGGCACGCAAAGCCGGCCAAGCTTTCTCACCCTTCTGTGCCTCCATCAAACGTTCCCGCAAGCGCAGGACGTCCTCGGGACCCGGAGGATCCATCGTGCGTTGGGACGGCAACCCGTGGGGCAGCGGGGAGCATGGGGCATTTGGGGGGCACAGATGGTCCATGCTTCGCTGATAAGCAAATATTATAACGAGACAATCATTACAGTATAAGGTAAACGTGGTTTGTACAATCTTTCATGACAGCCTTAAACAATTGCTGATACTGCTGGCGACGGGCCCGAGGCAATTGTTCCGTTGGTTCACATATCCAACTACCCTTAGATTGAATGATTGAGTAGAACATAGTAGAACCGAGAACCTATATATGGTTTGGCGAAGGCTCACAGCTTTGGATCTGGCAAACCTTTACAAATCTCTGATCTTCGAAAGCTAAATGATAATTATATTTGTATTGAATTCAAATAAAAAAGGAAACTACGTATACAGTATATATGGAATTTAATCAAAATCAAAATTCAATTGAACGATAATTGAAATAGAATTAACATCAAATTACAGTAGAATTGAATCAACTTGAATTCAATGACAATTGAATTAAAATTAGATCATTTAGGATTTGCAACTCTTTATATACCTTCTGATTCTGATGTACTTATGCAATTGCATTCAATAAGAGCAACACAATTCACAAAATAACTTTAAAAGCAACTTTGCATAGGATTTGCATGGAACTGAATTACATTACATACAAGTTTCTAAAGTAAAGTGTTTTAATAATAGTTATATAAGAGAAACTACTTACCATCTACAAATAATGCAAAACCTTACAACATCACAACTTTCACAATCCTATCAATGTCATATCATCAACATCAAAGCCTTGCAAAATCACAACTTTCACAACTCCACCCCCTCTTTAACTTTATTGCATCTATTATATGTTTCCTCCTATGGTCCTATGCTTTATATTTTGCTGTATTGAATATCAATGAATCCATTAGAAAAGCGCAAAACCTCACAGTGGCCAGCTCTCCAACAGAGCAACCCCCTCCGGACTCGTCCCCGTCGTCCCCGGTTGGTCAAGAGAGGCACTTCGATGGAGCCCAACACAGGCGACTGGATTTTGCGCCCCACGTATCGGCGCAGGTCCAGCACCTGAGGACGGTGTCTCCGAGAGGTCGATGGGGGTCATCCGGTGTGGTAATCCAGATGTATACCACATTGAAATGGAACAAAGAAACACATGCCATGCACATAAGGTAGGGCTATCATTATTTGTTAATTGGCCGATGTCCATCCATTCTTTCATTTCTGGATTCGCTTCCCCCTCAATGTTACCGTATCCAGTGGGCTCCTCATTGGTGCTGAGGCCGCAGCCAAGCGGAAGTTGAGTCCCAGGTCCAAATCTGCTGCGCAGTTCACAGCAGTGCGGAAACCTGCCGTGGATGGATTTGGCTTCGTTTACGCTGGGTTCTGGGCTCGCACCTCCCCCCTCCGAACAAAAAGCTTGCAGAATTCAGGGCAACTAGTAACAAAGGGCATCGCTACTAGGAGCAAGGACACTACTAGTAGCTCCTGGCATTACTGCTTGGAGCAAATGCTAGGAACAAGAATTCATAGCCATAGCATGCTGCAGCCACAAAGCACAATATATGATGGCAGCAAGACTTTATAACGGCAGGCTGCTCTTCCGTTTTTTGGGGCAAATTGCCTTCCTCCTTCCTCCTTGCCTTCCTCCATGGTCAATCCTTGCTCCCTCCTTCCACCCTCCAGACGCGGCACCCGCCTTCCAAGGGCCCATCCATGGGGCACCCTGATCGAACGGCTCTCTGCGCCAAGTCCTCCACCCGGCGACGGAGGCGCAAGGCCTCTGCCTTCGAAGCCGTGGCCCGGGTGGCAATCACCACGCCGGAGAAGGTGAGCCGTGCCTGGTGCGAGTTGACCGATGTTTGCCGAGTGGAGATGAGGAGGGTGGCTCTGGAAGGGGTGGTGGTTTTCAGGGAGAACCACTCAGAAAAGAGTCACATTCCAAGCAAGCGCAAGCAAGCGCAAAGGAGGACTGGGTTGGTTGGAATGGCTAGCTACTTGTCCAGTCTGTCAAGCTGGACACCACTTGCAAGAATGAAATGCTGCAGGGAACACCAAATCAGCCCATTTCACCAGATTCCCAGAGGCTCGTTGAGTCCTGCCATGTCTAAAAGCATCTGGCCAAGCCCTAAAAGCAGTTTCCATCCAAGTTCTACAGCCCTTGGAGATGCTTGCCACACATTCATCCCTCCTTGGGGCTTTGCCTCCAGAAACCCAAGGCAAAGATTAGCGAGACCCACAGTAATTCCACCTGAAGACGCTGACAGTGACCTCCAAGTATAGACAACTGTTTTGTTTTCTTGGTTTTGAGTCCGTACATGAACATTTTTTTCAGTGGTGCAAGGGGGAGACTCTTTTTCAGGGCAATTGATAAAACACACAAGCGCTCCATGCAATATCATGAACATGTATAGTTGACCTCGTTGCGGATCTGGAAGGGGACAGAAACCCACCGGACACGTGGCAAAAAAACCTTGCATGGCCTGGGCTTCAAGACCATTAAACACATCGTTGACCCGGTGCTGTAGTCTTACTAAAACAATGATTGCTTCGTAGGACTATATGTTCAAAATCCTTAGATCTCTCGTTTGCCCTCTTCTCCTTGACGCGCGAGGGCGAATCGGCACGGCCATTCAATAACTAAGCGTTGTTCGGGATTTCAGGCTCTTAAGATAAAAAATCAACCGACCAGGGGTCACAAAGGGGTGGTTTTTAGAGCCTAAGTAAGTGGATAATGGGCACCCCTATCCCCCAATAGGCACCCCTTTGTGACTGGGGTACGTTCTAATGTTATAATGATACATATGGTCGTGGTAGAGTCTATAAGGGCCTTCCCTCCAACCGAGCTGCTGCATGGTAGCGACCCTTTGAAGTCCGCACCGTCCACAAACTGGCACGAACCCGAGATGGATCCTGACCGGACAAACAACCCAGGGATCCACTGCCACCCTCTCAGGGACGGTAAGGACGGAGACGCTGTTGTGTAGTTTTGGAGGGTCCAAGTCCAAGTACCTTCTGAGGTTCGGTGGCAGTGGATCCCGAGGGCAAGTCATCGCTCGCCGCGTTGGGCACGCCACATTCACGAGCCGTCGGGGATTGGATTGTATCCACCCATAAGGGCATCGGCAAAGATGCCAAAAGCGATGGCCTAAAACCTACTAGTGATGGCCTCCAACCTAAGAGCCATGACCTCCAGTTTCAATGGATTCGGGACTTGGGAGAGGCTTCACATCAAATCCTTCAACTTCAATCGTGCTCTATTCGTGCTTCATGTTTCCTCCTCAACAGAATTGCTCCAAATCACCACTCTGCAACGTCAGTCCTGAGATCTCATCTTTGGCACTCCTGATCCGCTGCCCGAACGTCAGGCCCAGGGCACGTAGGGCACGGCCCATGTTGGCATGAAAAGAATGGCCCAATGGCTGTTGAAACAAGACACAGAGGTTCTTCTGGGCTGCTTTCTGCTGCCTGGGAGCGGTTCAACAATGTCTGTGTGAAGGGCTTTACCTGCCGTTGCCACCTTGAGAAGCAAGTATCCGATATCCTTTTCATCTGGATGCGGTCAAGGACAATATTAATGGTCGATATGGATCCATGGCACCTCCGGATTTTGCATTTTTTGCCTGTTTCTCCTCCTTTTTTGCCCGGCCTCGCGGCTCGCGCGAGCTGGGGACTTTCTCCATGAGCCACAAGAGCTCTTGCCGAAGCTGGGGAGACAAACGCTTCTCGATGGCCTAGGTCGATAGGCCGAGTCGCTGTGCATCAAACGGCCTAAAAAAGACTGGCCATTTCACGGTGGCGGCTGACCGGCTGACCCATGGGACACGACCTGTCTGGGACTGGAGGATTGACCTATCAGCGATCCAAATATCAGCCAGGAGTCACATGTCGGGGTGATTTTGAGTCCCATCCAGTGAGTGGATGTTTTGGCCCAGTGAGTGGATGTTTTGGCCCAGT